TCTATGCACTCAACAACTCAGCATTCTTGTGATAACATTCGGAACGCGTACTGCGGCGTTAAACAGCAGTTATCGAAACAGCTTCAAAAACTTGTAAAGCCTTCGGCCTCGCGGTTCCATGCCGATATCTAACGATTACGGCTGACCGGCTCACCAAGTTAAACGTGTGAGTGCTGTAAGGCTACGGCATAAGCCGTTAAGCTGAGAGGGTAAAAGCGGCCCTGGTGGCGTAACGGATAGCGCACTCGCCCGGAAAGCGTGAGGTGCGGGTTCGACTCCCGCCTGGGGCACGACTTTTGCCCACAACTCAGCATTCTTGTGATAACATTCGGAACGCGTACTGCGGCGTTAAACAGCAGTTATCATAACAAAACAGATTGTATGTTATTGTTTACTCATTGATTTACTCATGACAAAATAAAGCTATGAAAAGGTAAGAGTGTGTTCATACGTTGCGGCAGCATTTTAAGCGACCGAGAAAGCATACATATCGATCCATGTTCTGAGCGTTCACCAGCGGTTCAAGCGATAATCGAATCCTATGAATTCTAGGAGGTTCAAAATATTCAGGAGCTGGCGTACGCTCAGAGGACTAGATAAATACATATATAGTTCCCTAGCCGCTCGAAACTGAGGCAAAGTATGAACGCACGGCTAGTTCATGGTACAAAATACTCACTGGAAAACCTTTATAAGCCATAGTAGAGCGATTGGACAGCTTTGGAGGAGCGATTGGCTCGTAACAGGTGGTACCGCGCCAAAAACATTAGGTTTGAAATACGATCTATGAAATAACCGGTGTCTCAGGAAATTCAGGTAGTTTACTTTCCAACGAAAAGTTTTTTCCTATTTTTCCAATTTTTCATCTTTCATACATGTTCGCCTGTCTGGACATTTATTCAGATTTATGACAGGAATTGTTGTGAGAAAAAGTTTTTATGGTGGGTTCTCTGTTATGCCTGACATTTCGACAACATTTTCAAAGGCTGGGAAGCATTTTGGAGCTGTTTGTTCCATCTGTTTAGTTTTTTCAAGTTTCTCAATGTTTTCGCGTTTTTAGGCATGATGGGCATGTCGAAATGTCAGGCATGATAAAGGTTCCATAAAAAAACTTGTCAAAAATACAGATGTAGTTCACAGGGGACTTTTTGCTAGGTGCTAATAATCTTGAACATTTAAAGAAGTTATTGTGCAAGACTGGGACTGACTGAAGTCATCCAAATAGAATTACGGTACTCGGCTTCGGTTCACTCACCCGTAGGTCCATTTCACATCTAGGCTTGGCTAGAAACTCCATATCTGCGTTGATAGCGTTGGGAGGGGGAGAGGGGAACCATGGCGCCTTTCCCTTCCTCTAATGAAGGCTTAGGCTTACTGAAAACTAGTTCTTGCCGAATCGTTCTTGCTCAATGGATACAGATGCCCCCTTCCCCCCAACCACGTTAGCGCAATAGTCACTACGGATGATTCTAATTTGCAGTGAGTTCTTTGAGTAACTCCAAGGTTATTAGCACTTTTCTCTGAACAGATCTACAAATTCCATTCTCTGAAAGCATTCTGGACGTGGTCTCTTATCTTCAGGGAGATTTTTAACCAGCCATTTCCGAGAGAACCCGAGAAAATTCATTCGCAAACACTCAAATACTTATGATACTTCCAGTGTTTTCTCGGAATCAGATAACCAGTTCCAAACTGGAAATGGCTCCCCCAGAAATGCGTGCATCATAATGGAGAGGGAGCGATATTTATAGCAAAAGACTAACACAGATTATTGTAAATTCTTGCATTTTTTTCCAAATATTTGTAAATTCTTGCATTTTTTATCCAAATATTCAGGTGCCAAGTGCCTTCTCAGCGACCTGCGCCTACCTTAGCGGCTATGGACTAGCTAACTTCAGGGAAGCCCTGTCTTTGGGGGTAATTCTACCAAATCATCCTTCTTG